GTGGAACCGGGCCGCAGACGGCAGGCGTTGCTCACCGGCAATGCTGGAGCCTCCCACACCAACCGGTAGGTCTTCCATGCCGCTCCGCTCAGACCTCCAGCTTCTGGCTGCGGGGCTGCCTCCCTTCTGAGCTGTCTTTCCTCTCCCCCCCCGTCTATGTCGAGCCGACAGGGCTTGACAGGCGGACGGCGTACCACAAACCAAAGAAGTTGAACCAATCAATTCAAACTTCTTTCGTGAGAAGTTTGAATTGATTGGTTTAACTTTTTTAGTCCCATTTTGGGGGGGCACTGCACATGGCTGGGAGCCGCAGGAGACGGCTGAAAGAGCCGCATGTGGCTCCGGAGCCGTGGGTTGCCGACCCGTGTCCTAGGCGGATACTGCAGAGAAAATAAGGCATTGCATTTCTACCAGCATAGCCACAGGATGATGGGAACTATGGTCCTTGACACCCAAAAGACATTAGTTTGGGTAAGGCTGGATTAAATTATAAAAGAGCAGATGAGAGGAAGTAGAAGCGAGAAACACTTTCCACGTCTCCGACAAAATAATTGGGGGGGGGGCAGTTGACTCGGCCTTTTAATTTCAACTCACACCAATTCCTCTTAACTTCCCATTCAATCCAATGAGATCTATTATCGGCTGGATTTTAGGGAGGGGAGGCGGCAAGAATAGACCACAAAGCCAATTTGCAAGTTTGCTCTCTCGCCTGCCCGCACATCACCTTCCCAATGCAGTACACAGCTCCAAGCCATCTCCTCAGAAGTCCTTTGCAGATAATTCCATATATTTCTTTTGGGCCTCTCACTTTTCTGAGAATCGCAACTAACCCGACCCCCCCTCAAACAGCCTCACCTTCCGGCTGGCCTTCTGCAAACTGCCTGGCATCTAGTCTTGTCATCTTGCTTCTCTTTGCTGCTCATGGCTTTCCCACATAGGGGCAGGGAAAGAGAAGCACTCGCAGGCTGTGAGGCTGGGCAGATGAGCGGGCCATGGAGGCGCTGGTGGCAGGGGCAGCACTGATCTAAACCCTAACCCTAAACTTCATGACAGCCATCCAGAACATGATCAGGGCGCCCTGGAGGGCTGCCCTGGAGGGGGATCAAAAGAGGGGCTGCCCTGGAGGGGGATTGAAAGAGGGGGGCCAGCCCTCCTGCCGCCTGGCCTGTGGGATGAAAGGCAGGGAGATGGGAGCGCACGATGGCACAAGCTGAGCACTCTCTCTGCCATGTGGTAGGGCCAGAGAGGGGAACACCATACACCGGACGCAAAGCCACAGCCTGGAACTGCCGGCGGCTAGCAACATGTGAGCCTCTGTGGCAGCTGGAGAGAAAGGGCAAGAAGGAGGAGAAAGCAGGAAGGGTTTGTGTGTGTGTGTGAGAGAGAGAGAGAGAGAGAGAGAGAGAGAGAGATCTCCTTTTTGTAAATTTGCTTACTCTGTTTGCAATGCCCCCCCCCCGTTCCCCACACTTTCGCTTCCCTGCTGGCTCAATCTCTCACACTCACACACAAAAACTATCCCTGCTTTCTCCCCCTTCTCACTCTTTTAAATTATACTTTGATGCATGCTGTCTGGCCTGGCTAAAAAAGTGGGTGAACCTCCAGAACAAGAGGCTACTGAATTTAGAAGGTTATGAATTAAGCTTTAGATGGCATGGTTATCTATGGTATGACAAAGTTAAAATTAACGATGATTTTAACAACTATTTTGCTGGACCTCCCATACTAAGAGTTTGGAACAAATATAAAACAAGGTTTTTCACAAAGTTGCCTCTTTTGGTGTCCCCCCCAGGAAGCTTTTTTTAGAAAACCAGACTGGTGGACTTATGGTAAAATAATACTTTTCAACTCTGGTGACCTTACCCTTAAGTCGAGGGAAGAATTAGAATCAGAGGATTATATTTGTCATTGATTTACGTATCAGCAACTGAAAGAGATTCAAACTAGATAAAAAGAGTTATGGATTTGATTTTGTTAAAAATGAATTGGAAATCTTATATATTTCTTATGTAATCTTATGATGAACATATTATTACTAAGGTTTATAAAATGTTACTGAAACTGAATTTGGAAAGTGAACATGTAAAACATTGTATGATTCAGTGGGCAAGGAACTTTGGATATAATGTGATGCTTGAACAATGGGAGAACATGTGGATGAATGGTTTAAAATTCACACTAAACTATAATTTAAAAGAAAATTTGTATAAGATGATGTATTGCTTGTATTTAACACCAGATAAATTATCCAGAATCTATAAAGGTATTTCAGATGAATGCTGGAAATGTAAATGTAAAAAAGTGATCTTTTATCATTTATGGTGGACATGTGATAAAGCAAAGAAATATTGGAATGGGATTCATATCTTAATACAGAAAACCCTTAAAGTAAAGATACAGATGAAACCAGAAACTTTTCTTTTGGGCTTAATGGAAAAAGACTTGGGGAAAAAAGTTGGAACTTTGATCTTATATATGTTGACGGCAGCAAGACTACTGTATGCACAAAAATGGAAGGACATTTTGATTCTCACTATGGACAAATGGCTATAGAAGCTGATGGAGTTGGCAAAGATGGCTAACTTGACTGTTTTGATTAAAGAAAAGAATATAAGTACTTTTGTTTCTACTTGGAGACCACTTCTGGACTTTGTGCTTGAAGTGGAAAAAAATGAAGCTTTGATTTTGGGTTTTACTGATTAGATTGATTTGCTGTTATAGAAATGGCTAGTTTATACTATTATGGAAAAGTAAAAAGCTGAGGTTCAATGTTAATGCCCTATTCTACTGCAACAGAGGGAGTCGGAAGGCAATGCCTTTTCTTTTCCTTTCCCCCTCTCCTCCTCACTTTTTTCCCCTTTTTCCATTCCCACTGTGTCCTATTATTTGCTTTTGTATAAAATGTTATAAACTTTGAAAAAGAGCCACGAAAGAGGGAAGGGGACAGGTTGGATGGGGGAGTGATGTAAAAGATGAGCAGGCAGAGCTCGAAGGTGAATCAAATGCATCTTCAGTTTGAAATCCTTACATAGCACCGTCCTAAGTTTAGTTCCCCATCCCCACCCCAGGGAATTCTTTTAACTCTTATCTAGTGCCAAATTGACTTGATCATTAGTTGATCAGATTCTTGTGTATAGGTAGCAATAAATTTTTAGTGCTTTGAACTCAACTCCTGTTCCTGGTTACTTGCATCTGACAGAATCCTGGCAAAACTGAGTAGCTTTGAGTTTTGGAGCTTTCTGGTTTCAGGATTATACAATCTCTGGTGCCGGAAGGGGTTGTGCTCCCCCAAACAGTCCCTGGGTGCAATCTGGGATGCTCCTGGACTCATGATAAGGAGCAGATGGCAGCCATGTCTGGGAGGGCCTTTGCACAACTTCATATTGCTGGCCAGTTACCCCCATTCAAGGATCAAGGGCCCTATTCACAGTCACTCAGAATTACTTTCTGATTGAACTATTGCAGTGTGCTCTACATGGAGCTGCCCTTCAAGAGTATCTGGAAATTACATCTGATATAAAATGCAGCTGCGCAAGCTGTTATGTGTGTTTCTAATAGTATACATACTGTATTATACCTCTGCTATGCAAATTACATTAATTACCAATCTGTTTCTGGTTTGGTTCAAGGTGCTTTATAGCTGTACATGGCATAGGACCAGGTTATTTGAGGGACAGCTTCCTGATTTTATCTACCTGTCCCACTAAATTTAACAGAATGGGCATGTTACAGGTTCCATCATCTAAGGAGCTACATTTGGTGGGCCCTAGGCAGACCTCTTTTCTGGAGATAGAAGATTCCATAATGCAGGCATCACAGCAGAAGAGCCTGCCTCAGCATTTCTGAATTTTGAAGGTCCCTAAAAGCCTGGTTATGTCAGCAGGCTTGGGAATACCAGGGGATCGGATGAGCTTGTGAGATGGCTCCTTTATTTTTAACACCCCTCTATTTTTCTCTCTTTTTTTGTTTTAGTTTTACCTGTATAGTTTTAATGATTGTTTTATATATTTATTGATTTATTGGACTGTTGTACATTGTTCAGAATCAGTTTGGACTAGAAGACTTCCAAGGTCCCTTACAACAACAACAACAACATTATTATTATTATTATTATTATTATTATTATTATTATTATTATTATTATTATTATTATTATTATTATTATTATTATTATTATTATTAATTTATTTTCTGTTATATGAGCGGCCATATAAATTAGATAGCTAGATAACTAGCTGGATGGCTGGATGGATATCACTTTGGTTTATTTAATCTATAATTTTATAAAATAGTTCGGTAATATTTATAGAAAATTATGGACACCATTACCATTCAGATAATAAGGGAGAAGTATTATTTTATTTATAGCAGGCTGGGTCAGCATGGTAGTCTCTCCTGATTTTATTATGTAACAGTATTTTGATTTGCATCATCCATCTCCTATGTTGCTACATTTGCTTCTTGATTTGGATTGTATCAGGATAATTTGTTTTTTCTTTGTATTACTTTAAATAGACTTTTATTTTGAAGTGTAATTTTTAAGTTTGTTAATATAATTTGTTTTTCTCTTGCTGTCTAAGATAAAAATTTACAAAATAGAATTAAAAAAAACATTCAGAGTAATTAAATGCTATATGTCCTTTCAGAGACTAATCTTTTTAAATATGTTATGGAAGAAGAATCCAGAGCAAATTCTTTTTTCACAATTCAGAATTATAAAATAACAGAGTTGGAAGGTACCTTGGTCTTCTAGTCAAAGTCACTGCTCAAGCAGGTGTAGGGGACCCTGTACTATTCCGAAAAAAATGTCTGTCCAATCTCTTTTTAAAAACTCACATGATTCCTTATGCTAGCTCATATTTCTATCCATATATGTTAAATAAATTTGAGATTTTCTGCCCTACAATCCTTCATTGAATTTAGTCACAAGCATGCCATTCAGCCTGTATCCTTAAGAGACCAGATAAGCTCTAATCTATGCCTATTCATCTATATTGCAGATGTTGATGCAAATCGAGAACTTCCCCTTACCCAGCAACCCTCTGCTCACCCCTCCATTACCAGTGGGAGTTGTCCTGGAACTCCAGAAATGCGCAGACGCCAAGAAGAAGCTATGCGAAGACTTGCTGCTCAGGTATAAAATGGTTATTCCATTAAATGTTTTCTTTTCATTCTGTATTCAAGAACCAAAATCTGAATCTGTCTTCATGGCACCAAATGTGATAAGGGAAGTTGCTAATATTTTTTAAACAATTATGGAAGAGCAAAACAGATGCCAGACAAGGCCTTTGAAAGGATATATATTAATATATACATACATAGCCACCAGCAATAATCTTTTCACATGCATGGACACATGCACAATTTCTTCATATTTAGATTCCTCACACAAATGCACGTATACTCACATACATACACACAAATTCTTTCCCCTATCTAAAGCCAGATATTGTTAAATATATATGTCATAATCCTTATAACTACTCAAAATGGGTCTTTAATAGCAGGAAAGAAATTAAGCCATTATAAAGTTTTTTGCTGGAAGAAAGCTGGTATTCCCCACTCTCAGCAGAAGGAAAATTATCCCCATGATTTAACCATTTTTGTCACTTTGTCTTCACTGCCTTTCTTCTATCAAATCAGAGGTGGTGCTTTGCTCAGTTGTTTCATACCAGACACATTCAGTTAAAATCAGAGATCATTTCCCTAGATTACCTAAAAACTGAACTACTGCCTTTCAGAACCAATATTGTATATTTATAGAAGAAACGCTTAGCACTTTTCAGTCTGTATTCATTCAGAATAAAGAAGATCAGTAGGGTGCACTTTGAGTGTTTGGAGGCAGCCATCAGTGAACAAATGCTCAATTGCTTACTGCGTTTTCCTGAAAATAAAACCCACCCTGAAAATAAGCCCTAGCCTTACCCCAAAAATAAGCCCGGGGTGGGCATGGCCAGCACAAGTGAACACACAGTGGGCATGGCCAGCACAGTGAACACACAGGGGCTGATGGTGTCTGACAGTAGCCGGAGCCCGCTGGCCCCATGGCGCAGTGCAGGTAAGTCCAAGCAGGGAGGCAGAGGTGGGGAGGGGAGGCAGGCGATCCAGATGCGTCGTACACTTTCCGCCCGGAGGGAGACTGGAAGCTTCGTCTGCTTGTGAATGGGGCACTTAGAAACCAAGCAATTTTCTCTGTCTCCAAGTGCTCCATTTGCAAGCAGACGAAGCTTTTGGTCTCTGTCATTTCTCCATCCAGGCGAAAAGTGTTTGGGTGCCTATGGGGCGCTTGGGGCAGCTCCACCCCTTTTCCCACCTGCCTCACCTTGTGGCGGCACAATGCGGTGGGCCACATGGCCTCCTGCCACAAGTGGCCGCAGAAGTGGGCCAGTAACCATGTGGGTTCCTGCTAGACGGGGCTGTTGATGCCACTGCCACTAGGCAGGTGTCAGGAAAAAAATAACACATTTCCCCAAAATAAGACCTACCATCTCTTTTGGAGGCAAAAAAAATATATAAGATCAAGTTTTATTTTCTGGGAAATATTTTCGGGTACTGCATGCACCATACTGCTTGAAGTCTTTCACCTTAATAACGGATCAATTAGAAAAAGTATTGGAGCCGTACTTTTTCTTACTGTGGTTGTACTTTTTCTTACTGTGGCTGTGGTTGCCGGCGCCCCGGCATAGTCAGCTGATTCCATCGCTGTCTATAGGGGGCGAAACTTTGGCCCCCTCAGAGAGGGCGCGCAACTTGGGTGTCCTCCTGGATCCACGGCTGACACTGGAAGATCATTTGTCGGCCGTGACCAGGGGGGCGTTTTATCAGGTTCGCCTGATTTACCAGTTGCGCCCTTTTNCCGGACGATTCCGGATCTCCTAACCTTCCGCCGCGCCCTCAAGACATGGCTTTTTCAGCAAGCGGGACTGACCTAGGGTGAATTTTAAATAGGGATAATTTTTAATGATTTTTAATAAGAGACACAGCTACAAATATTTGGTTTTAATTGGCTTTTATTGGGGAAATGTGCTATGTTGTTTTAATATGCTGTGAGCCGCACTGAGTCCCGTGGGGAGAAGGGCGGCATATAAGTCAATGTATTAAATTAAATTAAATTAAATTACTTCAAAAAGAAACCGCTTTATCCAAATCTTGCAGTACTGAATTGATTGAAAGAAGCCCAGTCCAAGAAGTTCTATCTCCTTCTATCTTTTCTAGAATATATGAGCCTGCATAGGCAGGTCTCTCTTTATCTTTGATTACAATTAACCATTTGTAAATGGATCTAGATAATGGGAGAGTCCAGCAAAGCCAGGAAAAAATAATTTCCAAGCAACCAATCAGGAGCAGAAAAGTTTCCCTATGAACTTTTAATAGGGAAAGGGGAAAGCTCCATTTTGTCTTTTCTTCTTCCATCATGGGAGGAAGGAAACCTGGCTGACTTTTGCTAGATGAGAACCAGCCATCTCAATCTTAGAATACTGAATTAGTCATCTGAAAAAAATGCAAAACAAAGTGCAATTAGGATTCTGTTTTTAACTTTATATTAATGATTATTCTGAGCTGTTCTTGTATGCTTTATATACCCTTACTACTGTATATTCTATATGTGTGTGTGCAGTTGCCTTGCTGCTTAAAGGGACCCAATTTCCTGTTTCCTTTCCCCATTGACCTTTTAATGATAATCTGTTTCCTATGTACATCACCCAGAGCCCCCTCTCATTGCCCAGAGGCCTTCTATGAGGGAGATGGGTGGTTAAGAAATATAAACTATAAACAAACAAGCATAATAGTTGCCTATAACTTATTATATTGCTACTTTCATTCTGCTTGGGAAATTGCATAACATACCTTGCAGCTCTGATATTAGAGAAAAACAAGAGAAAGAAATAAGAGGGGAAAAAACCCACAGATCATCTGCTTTCTCTCTTCAGAGTAAGGCATGAGAAAAGAATTAGTTCCTGAATGAAATAGGGTGGTGATTTCCTACAAATGTACACCCATATCCACCATGTCAGTGGGTGGTTGCAACAGTATGTATTGTAGGGAAAGGGATTGTGGATTATTAACAGCCTTCTGTAAGTTAACCTGTCACAAATGTGTTCCCTAGTACCAAGCTATTTCTATATTAGATGACAAAAATACTATTTGTGGAAAGGAAATATATTAAATTTATGCAGTTGCAGTAAATCATAATTTGCAGGTTGTTTTAAAAATAAAATAAAATGTTATTAATACTTGAATGCAATAAAAGCAGAATAAGACAAATAGTTAATTTACTTTTTAAAACAATTCTATTTTTTTCTCTTATATATTAAAATTTGGTGACAGCCTTTTGAAGGACTCTTAGGGGCAAATGTTTATTTATCTATTCTTTAGGGACAGAGGCAACAATGGCCCCAAGGAGCTTAGTGTCTCCTGAAATGTTTGCACATTTTATTCATTTAGTTTTAGAAATCTAAAACAGAGTGTTGCAGTTTATTATACCATTTACCAAGTACTATTTCCAACAAATATGTTAGATTTATTAATGTTTGTGTTTTGACAATTGTATTTTTTATTTATTTTTATATTTCTTTATTTCCATTATTTTACCTGACTCCACAGCAAAACTGATTGAGTTACTATATAAAAAAAATAAAAGAAACAGTATATATAAAAGAGAGTACAGCTGAATGGAAGACAGAACCAAAAACCAAAGCGGTACAGCCATTATCCTAATCTAGAGTTTATGAGAATCATTAGGTCTTTAATATTTCTTTTTTAGATCCTCTTAGGTTCCAGATATTGGGCAGACCTCTCTCTTATTAGATTGAATGAAACAAAACAATGTTTTTATTTAATATGTATGTACTAAGAAGTTGATGTTTGCTTCCCTTTTTCTAGGTTGTTGCATATCATTATTGCCAAGCTGATAATGCCTACACCTGTCTGGTGCCAGAATTTGTACACAATGTAGCAGCCTTGCTCTGCCGTTCTCCCCAGTTTGTTGCGTACAGAGAGCAACTGTTGCGTGAACCACATCTGCAAAGCATGCTTAGCTTGCGATCCTGTGTTCAAGATCCTCTTGCATCTTTTCGGAGGGGAGTCCTAGAACCCTTGGAAAGCCTTCATAAAGGTAGGAATTTAATTCCATAACTATAAATGATTACATGATTGTTTAAAACATATAATCTAATATAGTTTTGCATATATTTTTCTACCTCTCTCTCACAAACTGTAGAACGGAAGATCCCAAATGAAGATTTCATCATATTGATTGATGGCTTAAATGAAGCAGAATTTCACAAACCAGACTATGGGGATACAATTGTGTCATTTCTCAGCAAAACCATTGGAAAGTTTCCATCCTGGCTGAAGCTAATTGTAACAGTTAGAACAAGTCTACAGGTAGATATAAGCTATGCCATATATGATCATTAATGTGATGAGTATCTATTTGTGGAGGGGGAGAATTTATGCCCATTTCCATGATAAATATGTGCCTGGGTCAGGAGGTATGTAAAATATAAAAATAACATTATGATCCTTTATGTAAATTATGTATATGGGTTAGTATAAAAGAGAAAAAAAATGACATTGCCATAGGTGTATATTACAGGCCATCCAACAAATCAGAAGAAATAGTTGAACTCTTTGCTAACCAGTTAACAAACATATGTAGGAAGCATACTACAGTAGTAATGGGAGACTTCAACTATCCAGATATCAACTGGGAGTCAAACTCTGCAGTGAGCGGGAGATCAAATAGATTCCTAACCAACCTAGCCAACAATTTTGTCACCCAAAAGGTGGAGGAGGGAACTAGACTTAAAGCTATCCTGGACTTATTCCTTACAAATAGAGAAGAAGTGATAGAGGGAATTGAAATTGCCTGAATCTTGGGTGAAAGTGACTACGTCATACTGGAATTTAATATAATGCAAACACTAGCAATAGAAAACAATCCAACCAGTGTCTTAAATTTCAAAAGAGCTGACTTTAACAAACTCAGGGAGAACCTAGGAAAGATCCCATGGATGAAAATCCTAAAGGGGAAAACAACCCAAGAAGCATGGGAAACCCTGAAAAATGCAATCATAAAAGCCCAGACCAACATGATACCATTGAGAAAGAAAAACAAGAAATTCAAGAAGAAACCAGCATGGCTGCACAAAGATCTCTCTGACAAACTGAAAGACAAAAAGGATTAATACAAAAAATGGAAAAGGGGCATATAACTAAGACCGATTATCAGCAGACAGCCAGAACATGCAAAGATGAAATCAGGAAAGCAAAGGTTCAGAACGAACAAAGGACAATAAAAAAAGTTTCTTCCAATATATTAACAACAAGAAAAAAGTCAAGGAAACTGTAGGCCCACTAAAGAGAGAAGATGGCAAGGAAATAATAGGCAACAGGGAGAAAGCAAGGCTGTTTAACTCATACTTTGCATCAGTCTTCACACAAAAAGCAACTATAGCCCAACATACCCAAAAAAAAACCATGGCAAAAGACATACTAGAAACAAAAATTAAAATAGGCAAGAAAATGGTAAGAGAGCACCTATCATACCTTGACGAATATAAATCACTGGGACCTAACTCCCAGAGTTCTGAAAGAGCTAGCAGATCTCAGAACCATTGCACCACATCTTTCATAAATCCTGGAGCACCGGGGAAGTACTTGAGGATGGGGAAAGGGCTGATGTGGTTCCCATCTTCAAGAAAGGAAGAAAAACGGACAGGAAACTACAGACCAATCAGTTTAACATCAATACCTGGGAAGATTCTAGAAAAGATAATCAAAAAACAGATCTGGGAACAACTAGAAGCATACAAAATCATAACCAGTAGTCAGCACGGGTTTGGTAAACACAGATCATGCCAAACCAATCTTATTTCATTCTTTGATAAAGTGACTAAACTAGTACACCAGTGAAATGCTGTGGACGTAGTATACTTAGATTTCAGTAAGGTAGACCACAACCTACTCCTTGGTAAGCTAGAAAACGGTGGAATAGACAACATCACCACCAGATGGATCTGTAGCTGGCTGACAAACCGTATTCAGTGAGTAGTCCTCAATGGCACTACATCCACATGGAGAGAAGTAAGCAGTGGGGTACCACAAGGCTCCGTCTTAGGCCCAGTACTCTTCAATATCTTCATAAATGACTTAGATGAGGGAATTGAAGGGGAACTCATCAGATTTGTAGATGACTCCAAACTGACAGGAGTAGCCAATACCCCAGAAGAGAAGCTCAGGATCCAAAAAGATCTAGGCAAACTTGAACAATGGGCATTATCCAACAAAGTTAGTTTCAGTATGGAGAAAAGCAAAGTTTTACATTTAGGCAGGAAAAAATCAAAGCTAAAAGTACAGTTTGGGCGAGACGTGGCTTAAAAACAGTAACTATGAGAGGGACCTTGGAGTCCTAGTGGACGATCACTTGACCATGAGCCAGCAGTGTACAGCAGTAGCCAAAAAAGCTAATATAATCCTGTATAAACAGAGGCATAGAATCAAGATCACGCGAAGTATTAGTACCACTTTATAAAACCCTAATAAGACCAAACCTGGAATACTGCAGCCAATTTTGGTCACCATATCACAAAAAAGATGTTGAGAGTTTGGAAAAAATTCAGAGAAGAGCAACTAAGATGATCCAAGACCTGGAGACTAAAACATACAAAGAACGGCTGCAGGACTTGTGTTTGGCTAAAGAAAAGAAGAAATAGGAGACACATGATAGCAGCATTCCAGGATCTGAGGGGCTGCCACAAGGAAGAGGGGGTCACGTTGTTCATCAGAGCACCAGAGGGAAGGATGGGAAACAATGGTTGGAAACTGATCAAAGAGAGAAGCAACCTGGAATTAAGGAGAAACTTCCTGACAATGAGGACAATCAACCAGCGGAACAGCTTGCCTCCAGAAATCATGGGCGCCCCATCACTGGAGATTTTTAAGAACAGACTAGACAATCACCTGTCTGAGATGGTATAGGTTCTCCTGCTTGAGCAGGGAGGCTGGACTAGAAGACCTCGAAGGTCCCTTCCAGCTTTATTCTATTCTAAAATCCTGACCATAAAAAACATATTATGTCTAATTTGTTTGTTGATACCTTAGAAAAAGTCAGAAGGTAGACATCTGCTATCATTGGTTGAAATGTAAATCTAATGTGATCATTTATAGATTCATATGAGATCCAAAGCTAAAATGTGACCTTTTTGTGAAAAATAACTATTATAATACTTGGGAGGAAATGTTTCTCTGCAATCCATAACATTCTACTGGGTCCATATAGTTGGATTTCTGATCTTCTTGTGTTTCATTATAAATTGCTCTTGAAATTATTCTGTTTGATGCAGTGTAAACATATTCGGGTTTTTTTAGAAAAAGACAAAGTCTTTTTTGAACATATTATTAGTCTTCTCATTCAATTCCCAATATCGTGAAAAGCTATAATATTTATTTGTTGGATGTATATACATCTTTTCTCCAGAAGCTGAAAGTGATATACATATAATCTATCTCACACTTTTTTCTAGAAGATAAAATGGACTGTAAAAGAGATTAGTCCATAGTTGCACTTCAAGTTCTGTGCCCTTGAACCTGTGTTTTCCTGCTCCTGGTCCAACATCTTAACACTGTTCTGTTGTCATTTACTGGCAAGGGCTAGGTTAAAGATATTATAATTTGAAACCCACTACTAAATATGTAGTTAATATTGTCCTCTTTTAGGCTGAGCACAAAAACACTTGCTCTATTTACAAATGGTTTGTTAAGTAGCTATGCAGTCAAAGATAAATAGAGAGCTAGTGGTGTAGATTCACATATCACAGAAAAGATAGAAGAAAGCCAGATTTTGATTGACAGTTGAGCAATTTAGAGTTCAGTCAAAGGGCTCAGAGAAACAAATAGTCTACAGCCTAAGAGTCTAACACCAAAAACATTAGTCGGTCAGTCAAAGTGCTGAGAGTCAAGAAGCAAAGCAGGAACACAGATCCAAGATGAACAAGTTATTCCCAATGAAGGGTCAGCTATTGATGGCTTCTCTTATACAGCACGATGCAGGTATAGCTCAGCTGACACTTTTTATTTACTGCTGAAGATGCTGAGCAGAACATATTTTCTGGGCTTTCTGGACATGTCATTGCATATTTGAACTTTTCCTCTTTCCATATTTGCTGCTACTGACCTTCTGTTGAATCAGCCTCAGATGAATGATATCTGACAATTCCTGATGTTGGCAACTTGATGAACCAGGGCCCTCAAACTCTGGCTTTGACTCTGGGGAATCTGAGTCCTCACCCATCCATGACTCCCATCTCCAGTAACTGGAGGCTTGGCATTCTGCTGGTAATAGCAGTAAAACTGCTGGACCAAGCACTATGTGGATCTGATTTGCATCTTCCCAGAAATGATCTGAATTACTTATACAGTCAATCAAGTAATGGAGTCATCTGTGATAGTAGCAGGAGTTCAAAATGCAGTCCACTTCATATTCCAATTCTTCTTCATCAAAACTGTGAGTCTTGGAGATACAGACTGATAGTGATGGCTTGAAGGAGATATTGGAACAAGTAGGAATTGATGGAACACAGGATAGATCTTGAGGATTGTTAGGACCTTTAAAGGAAAAACCATAGGGATAATGATGGATTTACTGTGGGAAAATACCCATAAAGCAATAATCAGCAAATTGTCTATATACTAGCTGGCTGACCGGCCGTACTAGCTGGCTAACCGGCCATACTCAGCGAGTGGTCCTCAATGGAACCGCATCTACATGGAGGGAAGTGTGTAGTGGGGTGCCCTAGGGCTCTGTTCTGGGCCCAGTGCTCTTCAACATCTTCATCAACGATTTGGACGAGGAGATAGATGGGGAACTCATCAAATTTGCAGATGACACCAAGCTGGCAGGAATAGCCAACACTCCAGAAGACAGGCTTAAGATACAGAAGGATCTGGACAGACTTGAACACTGGGCACTATCTAACAAAATGAAATTCAATGGTGAAAAAAGCAAGGTTCTACATTTAGGCAAGAAAACCCAAATCCCCAGGTATAGTATAGGAGGTACCTTGCTCAATAGTAGTAACTGTGAGAGGGACCTCGGAGTCCTAGTGGACAATCACTTAAATATGAGCCAGCAGTGTGCTGCAGCTGCCAAAAAGGCCAACACAGTGCTAGGCTGCATTAACAGAGGGATAGAATCAAGATCACGTGAAGTGTTAATACCACTTTACAATGCCTTGGTAAGGCCACACTTGGAATACT